GCAGCTTCTTTCCTGACTCCCCCCGCTTTTCTCTACATTTAGAATGTCTTTCCATTTCAAAGGGTCAGAAAATGCTGGCCTGAGTTTTGTGAAGAGGATATTTAAAGGTCAGAGGTGTTTAAACCTCTTCTCCCTTGCAGTGGAAAATGAGGTCTTGAGTGATGGACTTTCTGGCGAAGATGTTAATCCCCAACATGAAAGTCTGCCAGACACATTAGAAATCTGGGCTGTGCCATAATGTATTGCAGTGTGCTGAAGGACACTGGCTTTCTGCTGGTGGGGATCCTGAAACACCAAAGAGCCTGGGAAGCATGTTGGATGTTTTTCAGGTTGTCATTGCCATTGAGCAACCACAAGGGTAGGGTCTCGGGGGTGGTCCTGTAGGCAGGTGGCACAGCATCCCCATACAGACTGGTGCCCCGGCCACCCTGCTCTTTACCTGCACAGGCCGGCAAAGACTCTTTGTCAACAGGGCTGCCTGCACTGACCAAAACCTGTCAAGAACGTGTGAGTTTCTGGAAGCTGACTGATGGGCAAGGGGGGAGACAGACACTTTCTTCTTTGAGTTTGTTTGGCAGTGCCTGTGAACTTTCCATCCAAACCTTTCAGGGAGTGGGCAGGTTGTGGGACATTTTTGCACTGAGTTGTCCTCTCTGTTTTCATACAGCTTGAACAAAACATTTGTCCCCCAAAACAAATACCTAGTTAAAGCCATGGAATTTCATCTCTGTAACACTGATCACAATATTCCATGGTGAGATCTACCAAAGAAACTCTACCTTGTATGTCTATCTTCTGGCAGGATTGTCTGTCCCAGAGGCACCAGGGTGCAGATAAGAGAGACCCTCCCCCTGGCATTGGGGTCTACAGGCAGTAGCCATGCTAGCACCAAAGCAAGAGGAACAGTTTTGTGATGAAGCTTTTTTATGAGTGCCTCAACCACTTGCTCCAAAATGCAGGCTGCTGCTGCTGCCATGTCCCAGGGTAGCGGGGGCTGTCTTGGGGCAGCTGCCCCCCAGTATGGCAGCAGATGCCTTGGCTGTCCGCTGGGCATTTGTAGAGGAGGCGTAGGCGGCATTTGCTGGAGCTACACCACGGGACTTGCTCATGCATGGCTAACGTGCCTGGGGAGCTCAAGTGGATTCATGGGAGAGGAAAAGGAGGAGGAGGGCTGGCATCAGCAAGCGCGGAGCCAGCGATGTCTCTCAGCCCCTGCAGGGACACCGGCGCTGCCCAATCTCAGCCGAGCCCCTGCTATCACCTGGCTGGAGGGGGCTGCAGGGATCCCAGCATCCGCTTTTCCAGCTCCCATTTGGAAACCAGGCTGGAGAACAAAGTCCAGCCTAGAGCTTGGTCTCCCTCCACCTATTCTGCTTCATGTGCCATCTCCTGTCTGGGAGATTATAATGAAATTAATTTAATACACCGTGTTCAGAATTCCCCTAATTAGAATTCCCCTAGTTGCTCAAATTTTAGGAAAGTGTTAGTATTTGTGAGGTATCAGCAAGCATAAAGGCAAGAGCACCCGCTTAGGCAATCACTCCAACCTCTGAAAAATTGGAAAGGAGAAAAATCAGAGTGTGCATGGGGAATAGGAGTCTTTCTGCTGTTCTGGGTTTCCATTTTCCTTCCTCTTCTTCTTCTCCTCCTCAGTCACTGGTGCCTGAGCTGCTTTTTCAGACACAGAAAATTCCTGATAGATTAAAAAAATTTCCCAGAATTTAGTATATTTAATCTCAAAATCAAGGGAGAGGGAAGAACCAAATTGCTCTGAGTACTGACAAAGCCTCCTCTGAGCACTGTCCCAGAAGGCTGTTGCATTTAAAAGGTCTATTTACTCTGCGACAGGATCATCCTTTGGAAGGATGTTACCCGGCTGTTTTGGGGCAGATCAACACTGAGCACCGCACTCCCCACCCTGCAGAACTCCCCCTCACTGCAGTGCAAAGACATTTGGCTGCTCGCTGCTATGTGTGGGAGCATGCTGCTCTGATCCTCTGCCTGCCCAGGCACAATGTTTGGCAGTCTTGCTTGACTCGCTGTGCAACTTCCATTTTGGGCTAAAACCAGCACTGCTGTCTCCTAATGCTGAGCCTTTGACCTCTGCAAGGCTGCACCTGCTTTGCACTGGGTTGGGCTTGGGGTCTGTATCTGCTCTATCCATCGGACTGGATGTAATGTGTCCTCAGGGCTTTCAAGTAGATGGACAAAAAAGCCATTTCAAAGCTGCTGTGAACTAGGCAGAATACGACAGTAAAGAGGAAAGGTCTGAGATGGCTCTCTCTTCAGTCAGGGAATGCTCCAAAATGCTCAAAATGGCGTTTGGGGGATAATTTTTCCCAGCCCTTTGTCCGCGAAGAATGAGGGTTGCAAAGGGAGGCACGCGCCCAGGGTAAATGCCTCGGTTCTATTGTTTCCATCATTTCCATTGAGCTTATGAACCCCCATATAAAAGACTTACCTTTCACTAGTATGATTAAGAAAAGGCCAATGTAGCTTTCCCACTCACTGGAGCATGAAGCGTGTTTAATTTAATAATGCTGATAAATCTTAAAGCCAGGAGCATTTGGCTAACACATGACCCACTTTTTCAATCAATTGGAAACATTTACATAACAGCCTGATGCAGGATTCCTCCTGTGAGAGATGTGGAGCAGGGGAAGGCAGACACCCCAGCGATAAGGACTTCACTGTAGGGCATTTGGTGAAAGCAAAAGGGCAAATTTGGCCAGTCCTTAGCTGGCAAGTTGTGACCCCCCTTCCTGGGACTGCCAGCTCTCTTGCTGCTGCAAGGATGTGCCTGGGTTTAAAGCACCTCAGCCACTCGGCTGGGCTTTGGGGTCCATCACCCTGATGGTAAAGCCCAGACTGCTCCAGGGTCCCACCTGCCTGCCAGCTCCTCGCTGTGGGGCTGGCACCCTGGGCTGTAGCTGCCCGGGCCACTGCAGTTTGGCAGCTTGGAAAAGAAAGCCCTTGGGGTGGTGTGCAGGGCAAAGATGGCTTTCAGATTCTGCCTCTGCAAGTTGCGACAGCCACTCCCTGAGGACATGTCTTTACCATCAACTGTGAACAGCCTCTACCTTCCTCTGAATCTGCTGGTAGAGGATGCTCATCACCTGAGAATGGGAGCTGCATTGACACGTACCAATCTCATAGGTGGTTGAAGTGGTGTGGTGGCTTTGTTTCTTTCACTGCAGGAGGGCTAGATTGCTCCTGGGACATCCCTGGGGGTGGCCATCCCCCTGTGTGGCAGTGGCAGCTCTTCTGTGCAGGCACTCCAGGTGCATCAGGAGCACCAGCAGCGCTGACCTCCACAAATCAGCATACTCACCGTTTTCAGTGTTGCTTCCCATGCACAGAAATCAGCACAGGGTTAACCAATACAATCAGTTATTTGTGTTCCTTTATTGTTTACCTGCAGTGGGCTCGGTCTCACAAGTTGTGTGTTGTGCTACTGTGTGTCAGCCTGTTCCCATTACTCTGGTCCCCAGCGTCATCACCTTCTTCCTCTGAAATATTCTCCTCCTCCCCACCCTTAACATCACCTTTTGGCTTGACATCTTCAACGCATTTCATTTCTTATCCTTCTTGTGAGATTTTACTTTTTTTCAATTGAAACATCCAGCGGCCTCAAGATTAGTATTTGCAAATAGGTTATAAGCAACCTCATTCCCAGTGAACTAGTCTCCTGTTAGCTCAGTAGGAACACCATCTCCCTGCTAACCACATGGGTTTTATCCATTTTGGGTTTCATAATAAACTTTTGGAAGAGGTTTTACATCTAACCCATCTCCCAGCCATGATTTGTGTGTTGTCACATGTTTATTCATCACAACTGCCTCCTTGCATTAAAGTAATACTTGAGAATGGGTTTACCCCCCATTTTTTTGGTCACATAAGTCCCTGTCTGAGCAAAAGAAAATGCCAGATGCTCATGACCAGGATGAAAAATCTCCCATCTGATACATACTGAGGGATTAAATAATGGGGGGGGAGGGGGGGGGGGGGGGGGGGGGGAATTGCTGCAAATCTCACAGCATTGCACATAGAAGGATGCTGACACATCCCTCTGAGACAAGACTGGTCTCCCCATGCAGTAGGCTGCAGAGACATTTCAAATGCCTGGTCCTCATGCAGAGGTGCTGCTAAGAAGCTGTCAGGAAAGAAAAGGAATTGTTGCCATTCTGTGGGTTTTTTTTGCCCTGCCTTCAAAACATCAGCGGTAGTTTTCCCTCTAGAGGGCACAGGAGGAAAGAGAGAGAATGGGAAGGGAAAGGAACATGACAGCACTGGGAAAAACTTGCAGAGGTTTCCATTAGATACACATAAAGCATGAATAGCTGGAAATGGTGTGTTCCTGAGATGCGGTGCCCAGCTAGGGTGCTCACGGGTCAGGATAAAAACGCAGATGTGTAGCAATCGGGACACCAGCTCCATCCTTCCTGCTCTGTGCTCCTGGAGTCAGATAGATTTTCCCTGGTTCTTGAAAAACTGGCTTTTGATTTTCTGAGTGCCCATTCATATTTGAAATGTTGAGTTTTTGTTAGCTGCTCTGCTGACTCCCTGTGCTCTTGTGTCCACGCGCTCAGCTGGGCGCAGCTGCTTTTCAGCTCACCCAGGTGTGGGCTAGCCATCTGCCTCTGCCACCTTGGATGCTTGAGTCTTTGATCCTGCAATGGCTTTTGCATAAAGCTGCCGGCAAAGCCGCAGCAGAGCTGTGGGCTGTTCCCAAGCTTGTACCCAGCGCAGTCCCTGCAGTGAGTGGCCAGCCTGATCTGCACCCACTAAGGGGCTCAGCCCATGACATCTCTCCACAGCTTCTCCAGCCACGGTTTTCCCATACCCCGCTGCTCTGCAGAGTCCATCCCATATTGAGGAACCTGACTGTTTTGAGAGAAAACCTTTCCCCTCTCTGTTCCCAGGTGATACAGCCGTGGTGCTGTCTTCTCCTGTGCCAGGGCTGACCTCCCAGCTAACGCTCGTCTCCCATCCCCTGGTAGGAAATGGAGTCAAAAGTGTCTGAAGGTGGGCTGAATGTCACCCTCACCATCCGGCTGCTGATGCATGGCAAGGTAAGGGGCTCCCGGTGAGGGGGTTTCCTCCCAGCTGCCTCTGCTCTGTTTGTGCCTGAGTCTGGCCAGCCTCATGTGCCACCTCCCCAGGCTGCCAGGAGCAGCTGTCCTCCTCGTGCTGATGGGGATGGTGACGTGGCGACATGGTGCTCCTGGCCCCTCTCGTGCCTGCCCACCACCCTGTCCTTCTTCTGGGGACAGTGTGCACCAGGTCTTTGCTTCATTATGGGGTTGGGCTGGATTGTCTTCACCTTTTGTAATGCCGATTCCTTTGCATTTGGATTCTTTTTTGTAGGAAGTTGGAAGCATCATTGGAAAGGTAAGGAGATCTTTTAAATGTGTATTTAATGCTATTGCCTGAACCATTTGCTGCTTGTGGTGTGGTAGATGCCAGCCACGTCTTCCCTGTGATATCCTTAAATGTTTCATGTGCATGAGCTTGTTGCTGCATTTATAAGGCAGAAATTATGAGACACCCACAGAGGTCTCAAAGGCCATTCCCCTGAAAAAAAAAAAAACAACCACCAAACTTACCTAGTGCTGTTTCCAGCTGCTTCACTGGGGTGATGAATAGGTGTTTATGCGCATGTTGCCCTGACATTTTAATCAAATAGCTTCATTAAGAGAGATTTAAAAATGTCATGCAGACCCATTTAAATTCTGCAACACTTGCCTCTGAGGCCACAGGACACCATTTAGTTTGTGCGTATAAGCTTCACGATGTGCTCTGCTCCATGGTGCTTGCCACAGTGGTTTGGAAAGTCCTAGCTATACAGGATTGGTTTTTTTGTGTTTTAAAAGGCAGGTTTATCATTGCAAAGATTTGCAGCATGAATATCTTTCTCCTATATGCTTGTGCCTTCTTTTTTTTCCATCAGCCTGTCCAGCCCTGGAAAGAATCACAGTTGTACCTGCATTATATCTGGATATAAAGATATTAGATTTCTCTATAGATACTAGATCAGAAACTTCTCTTTGAAGCCACTCTGAAATGACAGCTTTTCTCAGCATTGGACCAGTTTCTGAGCTTTTTCCGTGCAGTTTTCCTCCAAATGGGAAACATAGAAAGGGAGGTGGAGGCTGCAGTTGTGCATTAGTAGCTGTTCCGTCTGTCATGTAGTACAGACATGGGGAGCAGGGCTACCATGGCTTACACCCTCAGCTCTTCAGCTGACCATTGCATGGGGATGAAGGGCCAGGCATCACAGAGCTGCCCAAATGTTTGGCTATGTGTTGCCACGTATTAGAGAGATGTGTGTTTGGAAGGGTTGTTTTGAAGATGGAAATCTTGACTTTTTAGTAATAGCCTGTGTTTCTTCTTATTCTTTCAGAAAGGAGAGACCGTGAAGAAGATGCGTGAGGAGGTTAGCAACCCTGCTCTGTAGAAGGATTTGTAGAAGGAGGGTAGAGGAGTGGGAAGGACCGTTGGGCTGTCCTGCCCAGCAGCATGCAGCACAGTGGCCAGAGCTGCCCATTGCCCTGTGTGATACGTGTGGTAACTCCCAGGCTCAGGACATGCAAGCTGGCTGTGCCCAGAGCTCTTTGGTCCAGTTTTCTCCTATCACATTTAATGGAAATTTTCCAGAGGCAATAATTTGCTCTTAATGAAACACTGAAATTAAGTCGCTTCTAAGATGCTTGAGTTTTTCCAAGGTCTATGTGCCTGCAGCTACTGAGGAGTTATCAGATCAGTAAGCAACACGTCTTTTTACAAGCAATAATCCCACAAGCTGTTCTTGCCTTGATTGTGTGGGTTTGCATTGCAGCAAAAGACCCAAAGTGGATGCTTGGAAACTCACTGTGAGGGTCAAGGTAAGGCAGCACTGGAAGCACCACAGGAGGGCAGGCATGGGAGTTTTTAAGTTTAGATGAGATGTCAAGAGACAGGCACAGAGGATGATGAGGGATCAGGCTGGGACAGGACCTGATTGAGAGGAAGGCCTGCACCTCCAGCACATCTGTGTGGGTTGCTTGGCTGTGGCTATTCCAGGGCTGCCCTTCTCTTTCCAGAGCGGGGCGAGGATCAACATCTCGGAGGGAAACTGCCCCGAGCGAATCGTGACCATCACCGGCCCCACCGATGCCATCTTCAAGGCTTTTGCCATGATCGCCTACAAATTTGAGGAGGTGAGCAACATGAGCTCTTTCCTCCAGGAGGACAGAGTAAAAGGGTCAGCATCCAGACCCTTGGGTGGCCCACCAGCCAAGCAGAGCTCCAGCATGCCCACTGCTGAGGCCAGCAGTGCAGATGGGCCTGCATACTGACAGCCCATGGCACAAAGGCTTCTGGTCGTCTCTAACTAGGCAAGAACTGAGCTTCAGTGAGCTTCAGAGGTCTTGCAGTTAATTAACTGCAGGGATGCTCAGTGATGCAGCTGCAGACAGAGACCAGCCACAGTCTGGGGGACATGACCCCTCTTTTCTGGCCCAGGCCATTTGGGTTGGCCTGGATGGCAGGCATCTGGTTAGGTACCAAGGCCTGATGCGTTCTCCTCTTCCTTCCCAAGGACATAACCAACTCAATGAGCAACAGCACTGCTACCAGCAAACCTCCAGTGACACTGAGACTGGTTGTGCCAGCGAGTCAGTGTGGCTCGCTGATCGGCAAAGGAGGCTCCAAGATCAAGGAAATCAGGGAGGTAAGTCAGACTTGATTTCATTATTGCTTGTAATCACACCTCCTCAGAGCTGATCTGCGACCAAGGGGGAGCTGTCTTAGAAAGGGGGATCCATCATGCACCACGTTGCTTCCCAGGACGGTCCTGCTGATGTAGAAGCAGCATCCTATGGGACCTTGCTGGTGTGCTGCTGCGGATGCAGGCAGGGCACTGCATCTGAGCTTGCGTGGGGCAGTGCAGCTCTTGGGATGCGCGTGGCATCAGAGCTGGAGCTGACTGCAAGGAAAGGCATTCAGCTGTGGGATTTCTCCTCCTCTCTCTTTCTGTCTCCAGTCAACAGGTGCTCAGGTTCAAGTGGCAGGGGACATGCTGCCCAACTCCACAGAGCGGGCGGTGACAATCTCGGGGACACCCGATGCAATTATCCAGTGTGTCAAACAGATCTGTGTGGTGATGCTGGAGGTACAGTCTGTGACAAAGGGGGTAAAGTACATAGGGAAAAAAAACCCAGCTGGCACCACAACAGCGCTGGGAGCTGTGGAGCGTGTCTCTCGTACCCTTCACCATGTGTTGTCGGACCACTCATTTCCTGGTACCTCCTACGTTTGAAACCCACCCAGTGTATTTTCCCCACCATCTTTGTCCATTGTTTCTAGAGTCCCACACTGGAAACCTGTCTGGTCGGGTGCCCCAAAGGACATGGTTTGTGTCATGGCACAGGGCGGCTTCTGGAGAGAGGGGTGCCAGAGGAGGCCAGGCGGGCTGGGATAGCCATAGCCTGGTGTCCCAGCAGCACTGAGGGCGCTGTGGGAAGGGGATGGGGACTGCAGCCACTCCACCAATCACCTGGCCTCCGCTGCATGGGGCTTGCGGTGCCCCATGAGGACCACAGCTGGGAGGAGGAGGCCATTGCATCATCTGCGCTGTGGGACCCAGGGCTAGGAGCTCAAAACCAGGCTCCAGCAAGGCACAGTAGGACAGGTAGGTGAGGAAGAATGGCGGAGAGTAGGGATCATAGGGCACATGGATGGGTGTCCAGAGTGGGCTTTTTCTGGGAGAAATGCTGATGAACAGAGTTTGAAGATCTCTGGAGAGATACTGCTGCACTGATGGCTTATTGCCAGGGATGACTGCAGGTACGTGCCCCATGTCCACGCCTGCCACTTCAGGGGGTAAAAGCTCTAGGAGAAAACCCCTCGGGACACAGGACAGTGACACCCTCCTTTCCTGGTGCCACCCAGAGGTAGACAGGCACAGACCTATGACAGGCCAATCTGCCTTGCTGCACAGCCCCACACGACTGCCCTTTCACAATGGGGAGGAGTGTGTTTGCCACTGCAAGAGCTTCAGATGAGCGTTCCAAGGCCTGGTGGAGGTGAAGCAAAACCAAACATACTTCAATTCAGCGTCGGCATGGCTAAGGAGTTGCCATGAGCTACGTTACCCACCACTGCTGGTAGTGATGCTCAAGCAGTTACACTGCTGCCAGAGGAGTGTGATTTTAGCCACATGGTAACCCCAGGTTATTCTCTGGATTGCAGCAGAGGTGGGCCCCAAGTGATGCTTGCAGGTGTGTTACAAAGTCTTCAGTGGCTGCTGTTCTCACTGACCAAAGCAAGGCTTGCTGCCCCTCTGTATGGCTCAGCAATGGGAAAAACTCATGAGTTTTCTTGCAGTCTGGAATCTGGGAAGTCCTCTGTCTTTAACAGTTAGCAGAGATGCTCATTATAACTTTTCAGTCTTAAATTATCTTACTGCAGAAATCCTCGCTTATCCTCTCCAAAATTTGTAATGCAATAAAAGAAAAAGCAGATTTGTGATTATAGAGGCTGTGCTTTGATCGTACAGCTTTCCTGCAGACCTGTGCTTAGCAGGAAGATTTGAATATGCCACTTGGCTACAAGTGGACATCTAGAAGAATGTACCAAAAAAAAGAAGAATTTTCCATGAGATAGTGTAATTTATGTTGCCTATCTTTACATAGCAGTAACTGGGTCATTTTACTTTGGGTAGAACCAGGAGGCTTTTATCTGAAATCTCTCCTGATACTTAGAAACTTCCAAAATGTCTTTTATGGCCTGTTAGTTATGTTCAAGAGAAAACCAACAGAGATAACTTGGGTGAGAAGATTCTGTGCACTGCGCAGCAGGATACATCATTACAGCTTGATGTGCATCACTACAGCTCCTGCTCAGACCTACGCAGGTACTGGTCAGACCACAGCAGGGAAGAGCGAAATGTCCTGACCAGCTGGAGTGGGGCTGCCCCAGGTCATGCTGCCCCAGGAGGAGGGCTGGGAGTTGCATACGGGTCAGTGCCTCTGCTGCTGGCATCTGTCTGGCTGCTCACACGGACTGCTACCACCACGCAACTCTAGGATAAGATCTCTGAAAATGCTGGTTTTGCCATCTGAGAGGGGTTTCCAGCCTCTGGCTCCTCCGGAGTTCAGCACCCTGGCCAAAGTGATTGCTGCCACTTGTCCCACTAGAGGATGAGAGGTCTTGACCACAATGATGGTTGGTGCCTTGCAGCATCCGCTGAACAACCATCCATGTCCCAGCTTGGATGGCAATAGACTAAACCAAGTCCTGAAGGTGACTCTTTTCCAGCAGTGAGGAAGATGAGAGAGGGGTAAAAGACCTTAAGCATCATGCTGGGTCTCTCAGACAGGCTGCTCACTCCTCCTGATGCCCGTGCTCACAATGCCATGCCACAGCTCCTGGTGTT